TGTGTGTGTGTGTGTGTGTGTGTGTGTGTGTGTGTGTGTGTGTGTGTGTGTGTGTATGTGTGTTTTTATTTAACTGTAAGGTCTAAAGACCGCCCTCGATTATAATCATAACTGTTAATATTATAAAATAGCTTATTTCACTAAATATTAAACGCAAAGCTCTTCCGAAATGTTTAGTGTTATATAAATTACGGTATACGATTATATCAAGATAAGCAATTATATTATTTACTTGCAACGTACGATTAACATGAGACCATTTTAGATATGCCAGAACGGTAAATATTATATTCAATCAGGTACTTTTTGTTCAATTTTTTGGTAGTATACTGGTATTATGTACGAGTGTATATTTACTTGTCAACACATATTACGGACCTGTATGGAACCGCGTCTTTATTAGTATACACAATTTGTATGTTTGTACAAATCTACGTTTACTGCTGGTCTGGAAACGAAGTCATTCTTAAGGTAATTCTCGATACTTTGTAATTTTTATGAAGAACATGTATTTTACTTTAGACAATGAAAAATTATTTGAATAATGCGAATAAATCTTCACAAGATGTTGGAAAGTAATGTAATAAATAGTACATGTGCTGCTATTCCTACATATATATGTATGTACCTGTATACACACACACACACACACACACACACACACACACACACACACACCACACACACACACACACACACACACACACACACAATTATATATGTATAATTTATTAATTATTATTTATTAATTGTGTATATATATATATATATATATAAATTTACATACATACTAATACTAATAGCGTTGTTAAAAGAATAATTTGATATTACAAAATAATCATTTTATTTTCATTTTGATAGAGTACGAGCATAGGAGATGCTATATTTCGTATGGACTGGCCATTATTGTCAATTAATGAAAAGAAAAAATTGTTGATGATTATGATACGTAGTACAATTCCTATAAAGTTTACCAGCAGTTTTTTGATAACTTTATCTCTGCAATCGTACAGCAACGTTAGTAACTGTTCTGTTATTTTGGTAACAGAATCATTATTTAATATATTTAAAAAGGTACTCTGTAAAAGATATTGGCAGCAGCATCATGCTACTGCCGATAGTAGAAGAATACGATTAAAATTTTTAACAAGTACATAATTGATTTTCTAACATTGTTTTTCAATTTTTTTTTTTAGATTTTGAAAACATCATACTCAGCATTCAATCTACTTCAAAAGTGAAATACGAACAACTAATAATGTAATGTATTTGACACGATAATTATGTAGTTTCTCATAAATTAGTGACATAAAATTAAATCTTCAAACTTCTATTTACATAGTCTTTTCAATCTTTCTTCATCAATCTTTCTATTTCAATTTTGAGAGTATTGATACGTATTCTTACGTATTAAATATGTATATTTTATGCACGATTTAATGAAATGCACGTATTGATTTGATGTTGCAAGTAGCAGTAGCATTAGCTTCGATGTTAGAACGAAAACATATTTATAATTTTTCAAGTGATGCCATATGTGATATATCGCGTTCAGAATTGATATATATCTACCTTGTATAGTTAATAGCCTATATACACGTGCAAACAGTCAACTTGAAGAATATCTAAATATACTATATATTGCTCGTATTATTATGTTGCCTTGCCTATTTTATGCAATAAAGTGGTAATTCTTTGCAAAAATTCTACTTTACTAGTTCCGATAAATGTAAAAATATACAAATATTTTATTCGATGGAAACGCATGAAACAATGTACATGACTCCCCACGACGACAATCCTCGGTGGTTGTGGAAGAAAAACTTTCACGATTATAGATATTTACACAGGAGCGGAAACGAACATGCTTGCCATAATGAATGATTAAATGATTTCATCGTCGGTTTTATAACGAAGTAATTGATGACAATGGAGTTAAGAAGTTAAAGTATGTAAAACAATATACGCAGTCTGTTATAGGAGGTACTCGATTATACTTATACAGACTTTATTTATAATAACAGGGTTAATATTTGTTAATTGTGTCGTAAAACTATTATACTTGAAAATATGAAAACTGGTATTCCAAAAAAAGTGTGCGTAATTATTTATAAATATTGTTTATGTAGTAGTGTTCACATGTGTATAAATTGCATTTATTTACTATTAAAAAAAGTTGTCCATCCGCGATGATGAATGAAATTATACGTGATTTTTGTATTAATGTAAATGAATGAAATTTGCCATAAACAAATTGTCAGTAACATCAAATATTCAGTGTTAAGTATATGATTCAAATATCAATTTGTGAAATTTACCAATGGCATAATTCATCTGAAAGAATATCATACAGCCATCTATATGAAATATAATTTCTTGCATAATTTATTTATATATATGGACTCGAATATTCAATTAGTATATGTGGTATAAAGATTATGTTATTCGCAACGTTTTAAATTGCTTTTTAAATATCTTACATATAAAAAAAAAGTTACATCTCAATACAATCTATCGATCGGTATTTGTAAAGGAAAAACTCCAAATATGCAAATACTTTCTTTAAATTTTTTAATATACTCTCTTTGTGAGAATGGCGACCCATTGAGTGGTCATCAAATGTCGCCAAGCTATTGTATAATACATTTAGCTTTATTATAATATTCTCGGCATATTTTTTAATGTTATTCCAATTTATGGACATAATTTTTGTCGTTAATAATATCGATGATTTTGCCACTAATACTCTAATGTTCCTGAGTGTGTTGTAAATCTGTCGTTGTGATACGTCGGAATGTGATCATCAACTTGGTACAAGTATTGCTGACAGAACCGTGTAAACCTCGTGACGAAGATGAGATTACGATACAAACAAAATTTAATAATTTTATCAGATAGCTATCACGTATTATTGGAACAAATAGTCAATCAATAGTATATAATCTGCGTAGAATATTTTCATATTATTTAAAATACAGCATACTATTGGTATATAACATTCGTCTTAGATCTAATCAACAATGAAAAATATCATATTAGTATTTTTTCATTTTATTCATTAAATGTCTTAGAATTATTATTGTCATGTCAAAGAATGTGATATCTTTTCATATTCTGATAGATTAAAAAATATTTCTTTAAAACAAATTTTTAGATAAAAATGTTTTTTTTACATATTACGTATTACGTGCGTATATTCCATGCATAAGACTCAACATGTACAAAGAGTATTAATACTGACTTTCGTCATTATAAATTTCTGCAAATTTCAAACCTAATTTTAATCATTATACAAATATGAAAATTAATCCAATTGATCTCGATTAATCCAATTGCAGATTTCACATTTGCAGATCATACTCGATAAAATATTCACTTTTGGCGACAAGCTCTGTTACAGGCGTTACAGTAGGATCAGTATTTAGTGTTATGCATGATCGTCTACCATTTCGAATATGGTTACCCTGGGATTACAATGTATCTTTGATGTTTTGGATTATATCGCTTCATCTTTCATTATAACTGTGATTTTCGCCATAATGATAAATGTCGGTACGGACACTTTAGTTTTTGGATTGTGTCTGCAAACGTGTGCACAGCTTGAGCTTTTTGAAAGCCGTCTTCATAAATTGATAGTAAAACGGTTAGATATTGGAAAGATGCACTTCCTTCGCTAAATAAAGACAGAGCGGAAATATCGGAATGTATACATCATCACCTCAGCATTTACAAGTGAGTCAGAAGAATGCGTTTTCTACTTATTATATATATATATATATATATATTTATATGTCTTTATACGCGCGCGCGTGTGTGTGTATGTATATGTGTATTATTTAATTTCTTTATCTAAAAAAACATTGCACCTATAACAGTATCATTAAAATTATATCACAAAAAGTTGTTTAAAATTCAAAAGATGATATTATTTTAAATTAATTTTCTAATTTTAATCTCGAAAAAGTAGTCTTCTAAACTGACGATTTTATTTCATGTATGTGTGTGATTATTCCTTAATAAGTTGTGCAAATCTTGAAATAGATTAAATTTAAGTTAGATCTAGGCTCATTAAAGAACAAAGGAATTGCCTTCTAACTAACATAAAACCTTTTCAGATATGCTAAAATAGTGAATGCTATATTCAATCAGATACTTTTTGTTCAATTTTTTGGTAGTATATTGGTACTATGCGTATATTATTTGTCAATGCATATTATGGATATGCTTGAAGCTGGATCTTTATTAGTGTATACAATTATTATGTTTATACAAATCTATGTATATTGTTGGTGTGGAAATGAAGTCATTCTTAAGGTAACTATCGCGCTCATTAATCTCCATTAAACAAATACTGAGATAATAATGCAAATATCTTTTCTCTAGTCAATTTTTTATGAGATTTATTCGTAAAATAATATAAAAATTTACCTAGCATCTTTTGTATGATTATACATAGAGTACGTATGTGGAACACGTACATGTACGTGTGTGTATAATTTTATGTATATGTGTGTAATACAGACTAAACATATTGATATAATTATTCAGTATTAACATGAAGCACTGATTTTATTTGTGTTTTGACAGAGTTTGAATGTAGGAAAGGCTATATATTGTATGGATTGGCCATTATTGTCAGTCAGCGAAAAAAAGGAATTGTTGATGATTATGATACGTAGCACAATTCCGATAAGAACCAGTAGTTTTTTAATAATTTTGTCCTTGCAATCGTATATAACGTTGGCTCTGTTATTTGATGCATGTTTTGAACGTTATATTAGAGTGATATTCTATGTGAAATTAACATTGATTAATTTGTAATTAATATAAAGAAATATTTAACATTGTCTAATGTTTATCTAACGTTTTTTTTATTCTTCTTTTAGATTTTAAAAACTTCATACTCAGCCTTCAACATACTTTAAAAGTGAAATATAAACAATTGGAGTGTATTTGTGTATGAAAATTATGTAGTTTTTCATAAATTAATAGCATTAAATCTTCAAATCTCTCTCTTTTTGCGTATTTATTTCAAGTCTTATTCTATATATTTCGATTCTGAAAACATTCATACGACATACGTATGCGCGGAACCACAGAGCACAAAGCTCAGATATAGCTCCTAAAGAGTTTAAATTGCTGTTTATAGTAGACAGAATACAGTAACATTAATCAGATCTATCATATTTTATGTCAGAATTCTGTATGATATTCACTTATACCATCATTTCAGTAATATGTTTCATCCCAATATAGAAGTTAAGCAGAATCCCAAGTAGAATAGATGGCCGTTTTAGAAACAAGGAGTTCGCAATAATGGACGTATGAAAGCTTCCGGATAGCTTATGTGAAACCTTTCTGGAAATTATTTTTGATGTTCGCAGAAAACTTCTAAAATATAATTTTATTGCTCCTGCCAAGCTTAAATGAAACTTTTATAGTTATATACGTATGTTAAATTTGATTTCAGTATTAAAATTAAAAGAAAATAATTTCTTCGTTTATACCGTATATATTATATTGCGTGTAATGCTAATGCAATAATTTTCCCGCACATTTGTCATACTAAACAAATAGGACAAAAAATTAACTTAGTAAGAAATAATCCTACAGTATATCATACATTATTCTTATAGTTACACTGTCTCTAGAATTGTCATGCAATAAAATGAAAAAGGGGCTTTGCGGGAAATATGATATTTTCTCTGTTCTAACGGACATGAAAATAGAAATATTTTATTCAGGAAAAGTAATAACACGCGTGTAAAGAATAGCATGATGGTTGCAAAACGACCATCACAATTATAGTGTTCGCAAGAATGGAAAAAACATCCATCCGCAATAAATGACTAAATGACTTCATGTTGATTTTTTAATGACCACAATTGATGGCAACGGGGTTAAAAAGTTGAAGTATGTAAGTATTGAAGTACAAGTGATGCGTAGTCTGTCGCAAGACGTACTCGATTACATTTAAGTGGAATTTATTGACCTTTCTTCAATTTCAGTAAGACATGTCATACCTGCATTAATATTTGTTAACTGTGTGGTATTACTAGCGAAAATTGTGAGAAACGATATTCCGATATAAAGGTGTGCGACAAATATTTTTAAATATTGCTTTACAATTTGTATTAATACAAATTGCACGTATTACATTGCAGTTAAAGTCCAAATAAAAATTGGAAAGATTTGCAAATGGAAATAATTTTTTCGCGATTATTATGTTAAATAATATAAAGTTTGTCGTAGTTAAATATCATCATATTTAATGTTAATTGTGTGATTCAAATTGTGAAATTTATTGATTACGTAATCCATTTTATAAAGTATAATCCAATCTCTATTATCAACTTTTTTCATCAAACTCGTACATGTACAAACCATTGAATTATATTAGTATAGGTAAGAAAAGAAAAACATTTTCTTTATTATTTACACATTATCTTTTTTTAGATATTTTATATATATATATATATATATATATACACATATATACAGAGAGAGAGAGAGAGAGAGAGAGAGAGAGAGAGAGAGACAC